TCTAGACACTGCCATCAGAGCAATTCTTCTAGACACTTCTACCTAAGCTATTCTTCTAGATACTTCTACTAGACCTGTTATACTATACGGTTCCAGAACAATTCTTCCAGACACTTCTAGAACTAGTCTACTAGACAGTGCTGGAACCATTCTACTAGAGTTCTACTAGAGCTATTCTTCTAGCCAGTTCTACTAGGTGTCATCTACGATACATTTCGACTAGAGCCATCCGGTCGGCAGTCCTACTAGAGTGTGCTAGAGGGTCTCTGTGGGTTGGCGGCAACTGATGGCACACAGCAACAACAGCAACACTGCCTAGTACACCCAAACTCCACCTCACTGCCCTGGAGCCAGTCCGTGAGTCAGGCTCGTAGCCACCCTGTGAGTCAGGGGTCCACCCAGTCTGGATTCGTGGGGCAGCGGACATTCTGGACGGTGGACATCCACTCAGCACCTTTGCTGTGACTCAGCAATTCCAGAGTTCTTTTTCTGAATGGAAGAGTCCTGGTGGCAGAGTGGGCCCACACCCTGGGCTGCTAACCACAAGGCCAGTAGTTCAAAACCACCAGCTGCTCTGTGGGAGGAAGATGAGGCTTTCTATTCTTGCGAAGGGAGATAGCCTCTGAAGTCCGCGGGAAGCTCTACCCTGCCCTACAGGGCCGCTATGAGTTGGAATTGGCCCAATGGTGTTGCCTTATTTTGTTTGGATTTGGTTTGGTTTATCAGTGGGCTCACACGTGAGAACCACTGGGCGGATGGCGCGGGACCCAGTGGAGTCACCTCCTCTCAGGTTGCTAGGAGTTGGAACTGACTTGACAGCATCTACCAACAGCAACTCCTCTGTTTAGTGTTTTGTCACAGTTCTACTCTGTCGTAAGTCAGTCTTGGGTCACATTGGACTCCGTGGCCGTGAGTTTGAGCTCTGCAGTTTTGCCTGTGCTACTGGCTCAAGCCGGGTGGGCTATTCTCTGTGTACATCGATGGACACCCTGCTGCGCTGGTGTCACTGTGGTGGGATTTATGGTGTGCTTCGGGGAGACGAGAAGGGATCGATTCTTTCCGTTCCCCAAGAGACTACTCCACAGTAGCTCTGGGGACAAGCAGGATGGCATCATGGGGGTGGGGAAGGGTGTGTGGGTGGGTGGGAGCAGCATTCATACCCAGCCATCGGCAGCAGTGGGTTCCAGCAATGGAAGCAGACAGGCCTCCTGACCCGTGGGTTCGGCGGGAGACACCTTTCCATAGGTGGGGGCAGCATCTCCTGCAGACCTGGGTGAAGCTCAAAGAACCAGAGATGAGAGGAGCCCCTCTGGAGGGGTAAGACACCATCCAGATGCTGAAAGGCAGCCGTGGACGCCCCAGAGCCTGTGGGCCCTGCCTTGGCTGTCCAGAAGTAATCAGAAAGTTCCACATTTCTAACCACCAAGCTGTGGAGGCTAAGCAATTGTAAATGCAAATAAGGCTGTTCATAGGCAGCCCTTTCCCGGCAGTAGGGCCCAGAGAAAAGACATTCTCAGATGTCAGAAGACAAAGGTGGCACCTGTGGGTGGGTGGAGGGGCTGCCCTGTGGGCTAACAGGATCCCAGCTTTGTCTTCTAGGGCCGTGGTCCTGGGGCAGGGCATCATCTGCTCTTTGAAGGGATCTAGGCAGGTCCATCGTGCCCACCACTGTGGGCTGCCTGCAGGGGGCGCAGGCCGTTGGGGTGGCGGCGACCAAATCAGATGCACTTTCGAGACAAAAGCAGTCAAAGCCTTACCCTTCCTCTTTTCTCTGTAAATGTGCTGGGACCTTGTCGCGACATTAGACACAGGAATGAACCTGGAAATAATGAAACAACCACTACAAGCCAACCCTGCCAATGATGAGCTCCTCTTTCTGGAATGCATGCGGAGGCCACCCCATGCAGGTGGCAGCTTACTGTAGTCAGTCACCTGCCCACAGTGTCTACCCTTTATTAAGCCCTAGGCTTGCTCCTGGCACTGGGCTACAGGTTTCATGCTGTCTCCCCCTCAGTCTCCTAAACCAGCCTACCAGACAGGGCGTATGGTCAGCTTTAGACACACACGCTGACACTTCACCAACAGCTGATGGGCATGGGGCAGTGCCTGACTCTCGCCCTGCGTCATTTTCCATAGTGCCAATCCTCCCACGGTGGCCCATTTCAAAGTACCAACCTGGTCTTCCTGCAAGCAGAGGTGTGCACGGGCCTCTTTGGATCATTCAAGCTGGCTCCCCCACTCCCGCCCCTGTGTAGACCTCAGGAAGGCGAGCATTCATTCCTGAACAGGTGTATGCTAGCTCTGAAACGTGTGCTCACTTTTGCTGTGGCTGCTCTACTGACAGGCAGCAGAGGGGGGTGGTCAAAAACAAGCCACGGGCAAGGCCCTCTCTCGTGACCCTGGCTCTACCACCCACTGATGGGGAGACTACACGAGGTCCTCAACCTCCCTGTGCCTGGGTGTCCTCCTCTCTAAATCTGGGGGAACCGTCATGTCTCCGTACTAGGATCTGCTGGTTTAAGGGTGGGAGAGATCACCAGAAGCCCCCCCACTGGGCATTTGTGAGGTGCTCACATCTCGGTGTCCATCGCCCGTCAGTACGCGTCTCTGCGAATCGGCCCCAGTGTTACCATCCCCGCGTTGTGCCTGGTGAATGTCTCGGGCGGAGAACTAACAGCTCGGTCTCTTCTTTCCAGCTGCTCAGACGGGCGTTCCGAGCTTTTGCCCTTCAGCCGGGCTGCCTCCCCTCACAGAGGAAAGTAAGTTCATTGTGTTTTCGGTCTCGCTCCGCAATGGCCCCCTCCCTCTTCTCCCTCTTCCTGATTTGCCCGGTTGCTTTCAGCTTGCACCTCACTCTCACCTTCCCTAATGCACACCCCTGCTGCCTGATTAGTCATCATATGCGTGCATGCGTGAGGATATATGTACATTGCCATATGCATGCACTCGTGTTAATATTTTACTAGACATGTGCATTGGTGTGAAGATGCTCTATCACACTCATGCATAGTAGGTGGGAAAATGTATTATATGCATGCAAAGATGTGACTGTATATTCTTGGATAGGTGTGAAAGTATATGATTATACTCATGCAGAGGTGGGAAGATGTATTACTATATACATGCCTAGGTGTGAGTATATCTTATTACACTCATGCAGAGGTGTGAGTATATATTATGATACGCATTCATAGGTTTGAATATATATTATTATACTCATGAATAGGTCTGAATGTATATTATCATATGTGTGAATATTTGTGAATATGTTATACTCATGCATAAGTGTGAATATATATTATATTCACAGATAGGTGTGAATATGTATTACCACCCCCATGGATAGGTGTGAAGAGATATTGTTACACTCATGCATAGATATGTGACATTATACGTATGCATACATGTGAATGTATACTCTTAGGCCCACATGTAGCTGTGAATATACATTGTTATACGTAGATATGAATATATATTCTTGTACCCATGCAAATCCCAGCCCCAGCCCTGTTGTACAGATGAGGAGACCATCTCACAGAAACCCGACGATGGGTCCAACTGTTGAGTCATGAGGTGGGGGTGGGCAGGAGCCCAGCTCTCCCAGTCTCACCCTGAGGAGCGGGTATCCATATGTGGTTCTGCCGGCTGGTGGCCTGGTTGTGTGTGGCCGGGTTGATTTAGATTCACAGGGGCCCTGGTGACAAAGTGGCAATGCCCCTGAGGGTTTCCAAGGCTGTGGTCACTGCAGAGCAGAGCGCCAGGGCCTTTCTTGCCCTGAGCCACTGGTGAGTCCCAATGACCAGCCTTTGGGGGAAGCAGAGGTGTGGGTATACCCAGTGCAGCCTGGGCTCCTTCCAAATCATGTCTAGCCTTGCTCAGTGCTGAGGCAAGGCTGAGAACAGTGTGTTTGTGGCCAAAGTTGGGGGAGGAGGGGAAGGCCTTTATTAGGGTAGGGGGTGTGGGGCTTGTCTTCACCACGGTGATGTGGTGGACTCTCGAGTGAAGCCTTGGCCCCGCCCAGAAGCAGGGACACAACTGTATGAGGCACTGACCCTCACCGTGGTACGCTCTGACTGGACGCAGGAAGGGGGTGGCTGGGCACTGTGGCGTGGAGGCGTCTGGCCCTCCCTGCAGGGTCCCTGCTCTGCCCTCTGTGGTCAGGAAGCGAGAGACTCTGTGTTGAATCTAGACACCACTGAGCCCAGAGCAAGGCCACCTCCATTCCTGGGCTGTGACATGATGTCTGAGCAGCTCTAGACGTCTGTCATTAGGAGCCAGGCTGGAGAGACGGAACAGGGTGTCGCGGGAGGGCAGTGCTGACAGTCACGGCTGGGCGGAAATGTGAATGCCTCCACCCATGCTGCCCGTTCCCACACGCACCTTAGAGAGCTGACTTTAAGATTATATAAGAATATGCATTCCCCCCCTGAGCATTCTATACAGAATGTCTGTGCTAAGCTCTGCCTCTTTCTCTCTGATTGTGTGTGTGTGTGTGTGTGTGTGTGTGCACTGGTGTGTATTTATACATGGAGTCCTGGTGGTGCTCTTGGGTAAACTCAATTGGATTGCTAACCTCAAGGTTGGTTGTTCAATCCCACCAGCGGCTCCGAGGGAGAAAGTTAGGGCTCTCGGCTCCAGTAAAGATCGACAGTCTTGGAAACCGATCTCCTCAAGAAGGCTCTGCTCTAGGACTGCAGGCCTTGATGGCAGAGCCGGGCCGGGCGCTTCCGCTGCAGGCTGGGGGGAGACCCAGGCAGAGGGAACGACGTGCCTTGAGGAAAGGGGTGCAGACAGGCAGGGAAGGCAAGGACTTCAAGGCAAGGATGGACATGGATGGATGTGGCTGCAGGGAAAGAGGGACTTCAAGGCCAGTTGTGACAGGAAGGGCTGGCTCTTATGGTCAGAGGAGTGAGGAGCTGTAGGCAGAGGACCTCATGGGCACAGGGGGACATGTGGGGAGGGGCCAAGAGCCAACATAGAAGTCGCTGTTGAACTTCGAGGGTTAACACTGGTCCCCTGGCCACTTCCTCTTTGTGCTGTGTGAGGACACACGGGTGGGTGGACAGGCAGCCTGTGAGGAAATGAGACTTATGTCATCCGTAAACCAACAGAATATACTTTTTCTCTTTCTGAAGAAGAATCCTGTTTTCCAAGCAAGCACACCAATCTCCATTCCAGAGAGCATGTCCAGGGTGAGGGCGGATGTTGTCCCAAGTATTAGAACCCTTCCAAGATATCTAGTGCCCCTCGCCCCCCTCCCCATGCCCCCCCGCTGCAAGTGCCCAAATGGCGGGTCTTTCAAAGACTGAGTCCCAAGAGACTTGGGTCCCATCCAGTTTCAGGCGCAGTGCTATTTAGGGGCGTGGCCGGAGTAAATTTAGGGTTTGAATCGGACGCCCTGGGCAAACACAGCCTATGGGCCTTGGGGATTTGCCTTGGACTTTCTGAGCTCATGTCCCCCAGGAATCTGACAGGCCCCGTGGGTCTTTGAGCAGTGGGTGCAGTGCAGGTGGTGGCCAGTAGAGGGAGCTGATCGGAAGGTGCTGAGTGAGAAGCCCTCCCTAAAGCTACCCTACTCAGCTCCGAAGGTCTCCCCAGTCTCCTGGCGCTTGCTGGGTGACCGGGGACCCAGCCAGCGTCTGGGAGGGATGGACATGGATGTGGCTGCAGGGACGGCCTTTGGGGAAATAACTTCGTCTGCTTTGTCTCCATCCTGTGAGCTCAGCCCAACCTGGGACTCTGAGATCCAGTTGATGCTTTCTGCAAATGTTTCTCCTGAAACTGGAGCCCGAGCCGACTGTTCTAAGAAACATCAGCACATGAAGGCTCAGGTGTGTCGCCTGACATCACGGGGAGCACGGGGTTCTGAGGCCCCCTCAAGCCCTATTCCCTCAGCACCCTACTGAGTCTGTGCGCCTCTGCACAATGTGGTGACGGCCAGAATGTGAGCGTCCATCCAGGGGGCTTTGGTGGGAGAAGAAAAACCAAACAAGATGCTGAGCATCGAGCTTGGCGGAGGGTGAGTGTCCGTCCGAGCTCCCATGTCTAAGCCCATCTGAGTACAGGGGAGGAAACTGAGGCACAGAGAGGGAGAGTGGGTCTCTCTCTCACTGACATCCGGTCGACTCTGACTCACGGGCCCTACAGGACAGCCTGGAACTGCCCCTGTGGGTTTCGGAGACTGTAGCTCTTTACAGGAGTAGAAAGCCTGTCTTTCTCCTGTAGTTAGTGGCAAGGGAATACACACCCTACACTCTAAAGTACCGACTTCTACAGAGTGGGAGGTCCTGAGTGGTGCAGGTAGTTCACCCACTGAAAAGTTGGAGGGGCCAACCCGCCCAAAGGCGCCTTGGAATAAAGGCCTGGCTCTCTGCTTCAGAAAGGCCCCAGGGAGCTCTAGGCTGCATGACCGCGTCACCGGAGGTGAATTGACCTGACTGCCTAACAACAATCGCCATTCGCGGAGTGGCTAGATGCGCCAAGAGTGTGGGGAGTGCTTTCCATAGTTCAGTATCCACACTGGCCCCATGGGATAGGGACGAGGGGGCTGCAGTGAGTCCATGGGGAAACAGTGAACAAAGAACAGCCTTTTCCCATGGACCTTCTGAAGCCCTGGCGTCGGAGCACGGCTGATGGACAGGGGTGGAAGCTAGGACTCAGAGTGGCCCTGGACACCTGGGGCTTGAGCCCAATTTGAACTTGAGCCCTGTGTCTCCCCACGGAACGCCGTGGGTGCTGCAGGCTGGGGTTCCAGGGACCAGGCCCAGAGGCAGTTTAGGAAATGCCTTAGAGGAGGAGGATGGGGCATGGGCTCGGCCACTGGAGGGGTCAGGCTGAGAGTCAGCCTCTGTGGAGCCTCAGAGTCCCCCTGGGGACTTGAACCTTCAAATGGACCCTCCTGATGGTTCTGCCCAGGTTGGCCTGTCATGAGGGAGGCTGCTCAGGATGGGGCATGGCCTCTCGTGGGCCTGGGCAGGCCCAGAAGGGGGCTGGCCATGAGGGTCTGCCTACCAGCAGCACTTGGGATGGCGGGGAGAGGCCTCCACTCCCGGGGACAGGATAGTATGCCACAGTGTCTATCATGGGCGCTTTTGGGGGGAGGGGGAGAATGGGGTACTATTTACATTTACCCCATCAACATGTGGACAGTGTGTGAATGAACTTTGAACCGCCGGCCAGCTAGTCTTATATCATCCTCCCAAATGGTCTTGTGTTGGATCCCATGGATGCGGTGACCACGGCTCTCTGAGGGAGGGTCTCCTTCACTATCCCTCTACTGACCCAGCAGGATGTCCTCCTCCAGGGACTGGCCTCTCCTGATGACCTGCCCGAAGCCTGTGAGACGAAGTCTCACTGACCTTGCTTCCAAGAAGCACCCTGGCTGGGGTCACCCCAGCCTTTGCTGTTGTTACCAGGTGCCATCCTGCGGGTTCTGATGCGGAGACTCCTTGTACACAGAGTGACACACTGCCCGGTCCTGCGCCGACCACTCGATGTGCCCTTGTCTGAGCCCATGGATGCAGCCACTGTGCCCGTCCACCTCGTCGAGGGAAGGCCTTCCTCTTTTCCGCTGCCCCTCCACTTTACCAAGCACGATGTCCCTCTCCAGGGACTGGTCTCTCCTGACAACGTGTCCAAAGTGCTCCAGACAAAGTCTCCGGCTCCTTGCTCCTCAGGAGCTTCCCGGCCTTGCTTCTAAGACAGAGTTGCTGGCTCTTTTAGCAGTCGAGGGCACTTTCATCTCCTTCACCAGCACCAT